ATTCTTATAGATACGAAGTTTCCCAACTGAATAAATTTCAAACGCAATAGAATATGCCTAACTTAGCACTTCTAATTTATTACAATACCTATCTAGAAATTAACATAATTAATATATGTCAAGTATTTCTAGAATAAATTAACAAATAGATTTTTTGCAATATTTTAAATATATTAGAAAAGTTTACTTTAAAAATTAACAACATTAAAAGTTATAACATCTATAGGTAGAGTGTACAAACTAAAATTAAAGATTAAAGATGAATGAATAATAAGAAGTAAAGATTTTTTTTGCTAAACGTTTAGAACTTGAACAACCATTATGAAACAGATATTTAGTGAATATACTAAGAATTTATCAAAAATATTTGAAAGTGAATATGACACAGTTTTACACATGAAATTTTATTTCTAATAAAACATAAATAAAATCGGAGAAATTTACGCGTATATACACAATCTGATCTCTAAGTAAATTTTGATTTCAATATTTTGAAATTATTAAATTTAATTACATCCAAGAGAAAAATTTTAAAAAATTGCAGCAGTTCCATCAATTCTTTTTAAATTTGAATTATAAAGAAGATTTATGATTATTCTTGGTGTTCCCAAGCTTTGATTTGCCAAAAATACAAATTTGTTGATTTATGATTTTGGAACTAAATTGAAATTAAGGTGGCACAGAAAAAAGAAAAGACAAAAATATAGTATAATTATAAAATGCATATAAATACAGTTAAACTTAATAGCTATTTATGTAACCAATTACGAAATCCCTTATTTTGTGTAACGAGTAAATAATTGCGAGACAAACGGAGCGAGATCCCGCAAAATGAACGAGTTACACAAAACGGCATTTGGTAACGTCTTACGTACAAGTTTTTTCTATTTTTGACTTGATTATTTATAAAATTGTGTTTGGTTGAAAACAGATTTACCATCATTCTTTTGTAGGTACTTCCAATCAAATAGGTCATAAAATTGTTGTAATTGATTGCCCTACGACGTTTTTTTTTTTTTCAATAGTAATAATAAAAATAAGTTTATGTGCAGTGTTGCCTATCTGATTTTTGACATTACCCGTAGGAAATTTGAAAAAAAAAAACGTTTTTACCGGTTATCCTTAAAGGAACATTTTTCAATAATGGTGTTTATTTAAAAAATAAAACGCAATTTACAGCTTTTATTTGTTTTTCTTTTTTGTTGTTAAACGTAATGTCAATTTTTTTGATTTTTCGATTTAAAATCCAAAAAGGCATTATTTATTTTCATTTCGTAGCTGGTGACATAATCAACTTTTCGTAATCAGTCGCACAATTTTCTACTTTATGCAACTGGTTGCATCAAGTAGATCGTTATGATACTTGCTGTGATTACAAAATATGTCACTTTATATGTCAAAATTGGAAAAAAAAATGTTTTTTCTCACTTTTGAATTGATTTTTTTTTACATCAATTTCTTCAGCTAGCTCGTGTTCAATGACTAATGTTGTCAAACCATTTACCCGATCCTTAGAGTGTAAAAAATTTCAATTAACTTTAATTTGGAGATACTTCTTTCTCCACTTGCCACACTTATTGAGAGAGTAAGCAAGATTCTTAAAAGTATACCTTACAACTTTGAAATGAATTTTAAAATTTAGATTGTCCTTTATTTTTTATTTAGTAAGGCCAAAACTGATACCATCTCGTCTGCCAGGTTCAGCACGTTTATATCTGATGAATATTTTAGAAGTCGTTTTGAGGTGTAACATTTAAATAATAAATAATGTATAAAAACTGAAAATAGTTGCTGTGAGTACTGATCAAATCAAACCTGGATTCAAGTGCATTGATAGCTTGGCCTAAAGTGCCTCATAGTCAAAATTAACATTCCTTCTTCGAACTCTGACGAGGCTGGATAAGTTCAAAATTAGCCGGTATGTCAATTTCGTCGGCGAGTTCTCGAACATCGCAAAGCATTTCATTAAAGGGCATATCTGATCTAAGATTCATGAAAAAAATCTTCACAATTTTTCTAGAGTTCCATAGCAGATGGTAAGTCTAATCTGCAAGAGCTTACTTATTGAATTGATACAATTTAAGATTTTGTACCAAATTGCAATGGAACATAAGAACTTAAATTATTTAACACAACTTAATAGTCCAGAAGCCTTAACTCTTATAGAGTTGTCAATCTAATAATATCATTTATGAATTTTAAAGTTAGTCCCTGAAAATAAGTCCTCAACATATTTTATTAATATGGTCCATCGAAATGTTGATGAAAATAGATTTAATTTTTTGGACTATATTAAAAACTAATAGGCGTCTTCGAAAGAAGCATTTTTCACGTCATTTACGACCAAGTTTAATGAGTGACTACTACATGGGAGGTAAAATGCTCGTGGATTTAACGCTTTTAGTTTAGATTGTACTCCTGATTTATCGCCTCTCATGTTGGCCCTATTATCGTAAGCATGTCTTCTTATATTCTTCAAATTAAATCCCAATGTTTCAAGTCTTTTAAGTATTAGAGTTGAGAGTGCAGAGACCGTCCATCTTTCAACCAACCGGAAGAAAGCCTAAAAAGATTTCATTAATTTTAATGGAAACCTCATTGAATTTTCCAATGAATACATGCTCGATCTTGCTGACATCAGGAGTACAATCTAGAATTATTGAATAATATTTAGCTTTTTTAATGTCAATAATGTTTCATGTTATAAGAATTATTTTATCTTTAATTTCCTCTTTTTTCGAGCACTCTGCGGATATGATCTTTCTTTACTGAATCAAATTGAACAAATAATTGAATAATTTGTAAAAAAATTACCATTATCGAAATTGTAAAGTTTGTCCCTTGGATGGCTAACCAATCTTGAGCAAGCATTTTTACTGTTTCGTAGAAGCACCTCGTACCAGTCTTTGAGAATGAATGTCAATCGTTTTAGAGTACTGAATTCTTTTACTATTTAACTTCAGCGGCAATCTGTCTACTTGTCTACAAATATTAACGCAGCTGAAATTATTAAATTTAGCTATAATTGCATTAGCCGTAGAGATTTGCCCATTTTAAAATGCAACTGCAATTGATTTATAGTATTTTAAACCGAATATCTCCCACATTACCACTTCACTATTTTTATTTGTATAAATAACGTTCAGCATATTATTACGTAGACTGATTTTGTTTGGTTTTTGATTCACAGTCGGATTTAACGAATGAGATCAGTCGGCGCCGCGAAAAATAGTGGCCAACGCGTTATTCTGCTTTCTTCCTCTTATGCCTGCTTCATATGAATAGTCTTCTTTCTGTTGCTCTTTATAGTTTTGCCCTATACCAATGAACAATTTATAAAGAATCTGTAGGGTCAAGTGGGGTAAAAATAAGACATTTTTTAGAACTTTTTTTTTTATGTGTTAGGCTGCCTTAAAGGAACCGATAAAAAATTTATAAGAAGTAAATGATGATATCACTATTGACAACTTAAAAATATACAAAAATGTCCCTTACAAATATGAAAACAAATTAAAACTATGTTTCATATTTTACCTAGAAAAAGTGTAAAAGTGAGACGTGCGAGGTTAGATATGAGAAGTTATAAAATGCATGTATTAACAGTCGTACCGTCCTCTAAACTAAAAATAAATCATTGAGGGTAAAAATGAGACACATTTTTTTTTTGTATTAAACACAATAAAAAAGTACAAAAATATTTATTTATAGAATAATGTGTACAAAAAAAAAACACAAGCATAGTAAAATAATACTATCTTGTATAGAAACATTAATCAACTGGTTGGCCTTCTAAACTTAATTTTAATTCATGCAAAACTTAAGGAAAGAAGTGCAAACATAAATAAATTCTATTTAAAAGAGAATTAAAAATTAAAAAAAGAACTCATTACACAAAGGAACATATTAACGAACTAAATATCTGTCGAAATCTATTGGAAAGGTAAATATACCTGCCGCTCTAGAAGTTCCTGCAAGTGGAGCTGAGGGTGGTAGTTTTTAAAACAATATCTTCCTTAACCACATTATTGATTTCTGGAACTGCTGGATAAACCAAAAAAATCATTAGGTAGCAAATCTTTTACAATAGCCATGTAGTGCACGTCTTTATTTGTGGTTTTAAATTTAATCAAAATGAAATTTCCAATACTTATATTTCCTTCCACGGCGGATTTAATCCCTGCAAGCTATACTAGTGGCATATTTTCCATATCGCTTTCATCCTCATACTCAATCTCTACTTCTGACTCAGATTCTGAACTACTAGAAAGTATTTTTAGTATTGTCTTTGTTTTCCGGTTCTTCCTTCCTGTTTTATTTTTCTTTCTGTCCTTTTCCTTATCAATATTTTCAATCAGCTTTGCATTT